CAATTCAGCTTTCCCCTCCCATGTGAAAGATATCCAGGTAGCTACAACTACAAGTAGTGCTTTAATACATACCTTTGTAATAGTGCCTTTTGGAACTTCCTGGAATAAAGGCCCAAAAATGAAATTCCTGTATCATAAGGCATATACATAATTCCATAAGAAATGGCCAGATTGCTTTCAGAAAATTGCTAAAACATTCTGTCCTTCCATCAGTAGAACACAAATTTCCCATCTGCTCACATCCTGGCCAAGACTGGATTAGACTCTACTGTATCACTCAGAGATCTCAGCTGTAATCAGAAACTACTCCAGAAAAAGGACCATACTCAAGGAAATCAGTGCATAGAACTGCTAGAGGGCCAGAAAATTAGTGTTTGACAACTTCTAGTGTGTTTGATCACTTTTCAGAGCAATAGCTTCCTGGGCTGTAGAACATTCCTGGGTGTGTGAGACTAGCCAGAGACTGGGAGATTTATATCTCTAGCGGGCAGAGGAGGAATTACAATTTTTTTAAAACAATACTGAGAAAACAGGCCAGGGACCTATATCAGGAATCAGACTGTCTAGGCTACTCAAGCTGAGAACATTAAGGCCATCTTGGCCAGGGCGTAAGAGCCTCATGGTAGGAACCATAGTTTCCACTATGGATACTGAACACACTCACAAGTCCTTCCACTGAAATCCAGTCTTTCCTTCCCCCACCCTCCTTCTGCATGTTTGCTCCCTCAGATCGCTCACTTCCATGTTGAAGATCAATAGAGTTCATTTCCCAAAGAATGGTTGCACGCATATTTCTCATCCCACACGCTCTTCTTAAATTGTGACTTCAGCATTCCTCACCTCAGGTGGAAGGGTTTGTATCCCCTTCCTTACCCCCTGAGCAAGCCTTTCTCATTTCCTTGACAAACAGAGTATATTTGTGTGCCCTTGTTTAGAATATATTGTTACATTGTTCAAATGTCATACACTTTCAGTGCTGCGTCTGGGAACCCAGCTGCCACGCTGTAACACAAAGTATCCCACAAAAGAAAATCACACGGAGAGGCTGGGTTTGCATATTTAGCAGACAGACCAGAGGCGCCAACCTACAACCACCACATGAGCGTCTGCTTTCTCTTGTCTGTAACACAACACCACAGAATGGGAAAGTCTTATGTATTTTTAAAGTAGTTCATTTTGGCTTATGGTTGTGGAGCTCCAAAGTTAAGGACCTGCATCTAATGATGACAGAGGCCTGAGGTGATGCAGAGGATTGCATGGAAGGAGACAGCATACTTATGTGCGTGTCTTGTGTTTTTCTCTCTTATAAAGCCCCCAATATGGAAACATGGCAGCCACAGTCCCATCATTTTATCTAATGCGAATTACTGCCCAAAGGCCCAGCTTCTAAACACCACAGTCAGATCAAGTTTCCATCCTCTACTTCGGCACAATGGGACTCAACTCCAAAATGAGCCTTAGAGAGAAGCATCCATAGTCACTCCGGAGGAAATCCGGATGGAAGATTCTAACTTCAAGACATTTGATTCTTCCTAGCTGAAGCCCAGATGTCTTAGAGCAGAGATGAGAGAGCCCCAGCACGTCCTGTCTTAATTCCTGCACCATAGAATGTCGAATATAATAAAATAATTCTTACACACCCTATACTTACATTAGAGTATCCAGAAGCAGAACACTCAGCCTTGCATTGGGGTGTAAGCTGAACCCCAGCTGCCTGCAGAACTAACTGCAACTTTGGGGAGACAGGAATGCTATTCCAACATGGGGGCTGGCCCACAAGGTGATATGTAGGTCTACAACATCCAATTTTCTAAGTTTTGTTGTGCTCAGTGAAAAGTCACCTCTTGCTGTTTTAAATATCAGTCTTTCTCTGATTGCTAGTGTTTTTGGTAATTATTTTATTTGCCTATTTGCTGTTTGGGCTTTCCTTCTTGTGGGCTGACTACACACAAAATGTAGCCATTTCTCTATTAGATTATCTGTCTTTTTTTTGTTTTACTGATTTTCAAAAATTCTTATTTATTCAAGAGATTAATTTCCTTTTTCTTTCAGGTACTGCAAATATCTCCAATGTAACATCTGTTGGTGAAATTTATCATAGTATCCTCAATTGAACGGAAATTCTTAACTGTATCATAGTATCCTCAATTGAAGGAAATTCTTAACTGTATCATAGTACCCTCAAATGAACAGAAATTCTTAACTGTATAGAATTCTCTCTTTCCCTCTTTTCTCTTTCTCTATACCTCAACTTTTGCTTATGTGAAAGATATTTCCTTTACTTCATTCCCATATGTTCTGTTAGCTTTGTGGATTTAAAATTCACATTTACCTAAGAGAGTTGTTAGGAGTCCTTCTTTGCATATGGCATGAGGTGTGGGATCTGGATTCACTTTTTTCTTATGATGAGTTAGATTTATATTTTTTCTTTTCCTCATTTATGTTTTGTGTTGAGACCATTATTAAATGAATGTTTCATTAGTCTGTTTCAGAGCCTTCTAATCCATTCCATTCAGCTCTTTGTTCTTACCCTCACACCATCCTGTTCTTGTTCTCAGATTCGTTTTGATCTTGCCACCACCTATCCCACCTTGTAAGCCTGAGGTATTTCTTGGAGCCAATTGGCTCCATTCCAAAGTGCTCTAAAAAGCAAAAGTTTTAAAAATTATTGAAAGTTCTCCTCAAAATTTAAAATTATTCTTCCTTAATCTCATGTTGCTTGTTAGTTTTTACTACATTCTCATAGGCATCCACTAATCTAATACTCTATTTTTTCTTATACTGAAAACCTGGTAACCAAATCTTTTTCAGTCTGAGCAGAGTAAACAGTGATCCTGCAGAAATAGGGCAAAAGAGTTAACACATAGCTTTGAGATTTTTGCTTTAGATACCCAGAGACCTTTCTTTGTTCTCTGCTATCACCTTCAGATATACTTTGTGGGAACTCATTTCTGAAAGGTTACACCGTGAAGTTAGACCTGAGAATGTGAGCTATTGAGCTATGAAAACCCAGCTGCGGAAACTTTTGAATAATTTTCCTACTTCCCCAGACTTAAAACAGAGATTCCAATTTTTCTTTTCATCAAGCAACTTTACAGAATTCTTTCTGACCCCCATATCATTAAGTCATTTAAAAATGTATTTGTTTACCAAATGGTTATTGAGGACCTACAATATGCCACATGCTATACCAAGTGCTGGAGACTTATAAAACAGTATCCAGTTGAGTTCTGATTATATAGAGATTACTATGTCTTGACAGGTAATAGTAATTGCATAGATGATTTTTTTAAACTAGTGAAAATAACTTGGTCTAGGGCATGATTGAGAAAATTCAAACAGGTTCATTGATTTTAATATTTTTCAAGGTATGTGCTGCCAATATCCCTGTCTCCCCAAGTACTCAGTCCACAATTGAAAGCACTAATAAAATAGCATGATAATCATTTAACATTTCCCTTGTATTGCATCCCCTAACGAATGTTTTATAACAGGTTACCACAAAGAAGACTGTATTTACATTCAGAAATATATTTTTGCTTTTACTTTTATAAGCTCAAGCTGTCCAAATGAAATGGAGCTTCACAAATGGGAAAGTGAGAGCATTATTTTATTATACTTTGATCTGTGCATACAAAAACAAGGTATTACATTTGAGGGACAGGAATATGGGAACTTTTAAGAGAGCTTCAAATGAGTAAATATTGCAAATTGTTTAAGTCAAGCTTTATATTTAGCATAGGTATTTATGTGTCATTAGCTGAGAGGAGCATTGAAGGAATATATAATGTGAATTTAAGGATCGTGTCTTCATAACTGCAATAGCCAACACTTATGCCACTACATTTATCAGAGCCCCAATCATATTTTTCCTTAAATTGTATCAATCATAGTTATCACCTGTAGCTTCAGTTTGAACAAAACATAAAAATTGAAGTCTAATTTTATCACAAGGGAGTTGAACCTGATACAAAACTTATTTCCTGTTGATAAAGATTATTACACACTGGAACAATTTACATGGGGGAAATAACTGATTTCGTCTCTCTAGGGAACTTTAATAAGTGCATCAATTCAACTTAAGTCAAAACTGGTCTTATCTCTCAACTTCATGCTCAAATGTGAATATATATATTAGTTAATATAGTAGATACAGATTAGTTAATATATATTCATTAATATATGTATATTAGTTAATATACTGTATATTTGCTTATTATATATATTAGGTAATATATATATATATATATATATATTAGTTAAAAGACTTTTCTCTTGAAAGCTTAATGGAAAAAGTGCAGACATTACAGTTAAACCACCTTAGCTGGAATCATTAACTCCATTTCTCTTTGCTACATATTTGTAAGCAATTTACTTAACATCTGGATTTTCTTTTTCATAGAGGGAACTTGGGAGGGGTTAAGGCATAACACTAAGTATCTAGTTCATTTAATAAACAGTTGTCTCTATCCCAATAATACTACCTTCCTCTGTGACCTCCACTTCTTCCTAACATTCTAAAATTAAAGCTTCTAAGCAAGAGAGAATATGGCACCAAAGCAGAAATTACTCTGAATTTGATAGTCAAATTTCTCTAAGCTCATTAAACTAGAGTAAAATATATGTACTAGTTAAATCAGTCAATATAACTGATCATCCCTTTTATTATAGTGGACAAGATGATACCAATAGAAATACCAGATTAAGCTCTATTATATATAACTGGAATTAAATTTATATTCATGGTGCAATCAAGTTTTTTTAGTGCCAAGACAAGGTTACACAATTAAGATCATAATATAAAATAACAATAATAATGATAATTTACTGTCACTTCAATATATAAAGAAAGATTTAGGAAAACTACAAGATTTATTTTCCTACGTGATGTCTTAATTAAATTTTCTTCCTTTAGATTCTCCTTGATGTTTTAATGAGCAGTCATCTTGCTTCCATAGAAAGGTTTGATTAACATGGATCAATCTGCCTCTCCTTAACAGGGACAAGTGATCCATACGTGAAGTTTAAAATTGGAAGAAAAGAAGTTTTTAGAAGTAAAATAATACACAAGAACCTCAATCCTGTGTGGGAGGAAAAAGCTTGCATTCTTGTTGATCATCTTAGGGAACCATTATATATAAAGGTGAGCTATTTGTTTGTTCTTCCCTGATGAAATCTGACATAGAAATCCTTGTTTAATGGCCTTTTTATCATATCTGTCTGTCTAATGAGATTTTTCACCCGAGATATAGTCTACCATTCACAACTCTAATCTATTGGTAATGTAATATAAATGAAATAGAAGAGGGCGAATGTTAGCAAAGCCATTTTTCTCCAGGATGATTCTATTGCATTTAGGAGCATTATGATGCACATCTGCTCTAGCTGGGTGCTATCGACTGATTTAGTGCACTTTGGGAGCATACAAAAGTGTGTCTGTAGAGGAGGAAAGAAGGAAAGCTTGACACAGAGCCTAGCTTTTGTGCTTAAGAATTACATTATTTAAACTTTTCCTGAAAGATCTGACAGGTTAAGAAGGCAAAGGTTTTCTTCGATTACTACCATGACATGTGCTTATCTACTGACATGGTTGTTCTCTGAGAAAGAAGCATCATCTGGAAAAACATTACTTTGCTCTCATTCAGCCAGATATTTTTCACAACTACTTGACACAGAAATGACAGACAGCCTTGTGTTCTCATGTGCGTGAGCAGGTATCTAAATCTGTGCTGAGTCTTGGGTGCTGGCAGAGCTATGGTGTGAATTTCTAGAGTTCACGGTGGTGGAACGAAGCATTTCAGCAAAGATATTTTCAAAAATATGTTCTGAGGAGGCCACACATTTGCACCAACCAAAAACTGGAACTGGTGGTCCTTGTCAACCCAAAAGCCATATGCAATCTGCTCTTCCCTAGCCCCTTCTGCCTTACTAGCACTAGCCATGTTTAAAGGTTTTCAGTCACAATGCACAAGTTCCTGAGCTTTCTGGTGGGTCAGAGGTAAAACTGAAAGTTTCAAGATGCAGGAGGATGTTTAGACTCTTAAAAAAAAACAAAGTTGGAGTGTTATCCAAGTAATCTATGTTCCCCGTGAGTAGTGCTACCTTGGACAAAATGAGGAAGCATCATAATCAGCTCAGGGGACCCTGCCTCCTGTAGGATGAGAATGGTGGCATCACTGAGGCGTTCAGAAGTATTCTAGGAATTGCTGTGCTTAACATAAGCAAATAGAACATTTTGAACTTGCTGCTTGCAGAGTCCTGAAAAAGAACCCACTGAAAACCCTGAGAATGGTGTTAGAGCTAAAGCCATCCAATAAGCCCATGTGCCTACACCCTTCCCCAGGTTAGACGTCACAAACTCTGGGTGGGTGAGACAGCAGCAGCAGCAAGGCCAAAGTGGACGAGGACAGGGTTGCCTGCAGGAAGTGTGTGGTAGAGAAGGAAGTGAAGAGGTCTCCTGCTGATGAGGAACAGAAGAAGCCTTTGGTATAGAAAAGGAAAAAAGAAGCTGCAATTACCAAGAAACCAACAACTGAAAAGAAACCTACCATACACTCCTCAATGTGTTTATGCTGTGCAAGCCAAATCACGTTGGACAGCTTTTTTTGAATAAATGTCTGATCTGAGATAGTGAGGAAAAGTAAGTTATGTTAATTAAGGTCCATCATTCCTTGATGCAAACAAAATTCTTTACTTGGGAAATGAGGAGGGTAAAGATATTGGGGAAGAAGACTTCCTTCTGTATTTTATTACCAAAAAATTTTTAAAGGTTTTTCTTTCATTCAATATAATTTTTTTGAAAGATGGAAACTTAAAGAATTTCAAGATTAATTCTTTGTTAAAAGTTTTCCTGGTTTTAGGGGCTGGGGATTTAGCTCAGCGGCAAAGAGTGCCTGCCTGGCAAGCGCAAGGTCGTGAGTTCGGTTCCTGGTACAGGAGAGAAACCAAAAAACAAAACAAAAACAAAAAAAAATTTCCTTGTTTTATTTTTATATCTCTATAATGTTCTGTACTCCTATGTTCTGACATTTCAGTGACCAAATTTTCTCTACTATTACTACAATCAGATGTACCTCACCCTTTTCTCTAAATTGGTGAAACATGAGCCGCAAAATCTCATGTAGTCACTCCTTCAGCATTCATTGGATCATTGATCTTGCCTGAAAGGTTTCCTAAAAACTAATTCATTCTGTCATTATTGATAATACAAAAATTCATCTGTGAAAAAATGGTTATAAAACACTGGGCCTACAGCCCTCCCATTTATAGCTAAAGGAGAATGAAGTCTCAGTGTGTCTGGTAATGTAATTTTATAAATGTAAGAATTACAAATGGCAAAAAAATTTATTCTGAGCCAAGGTTAGTAAGACCATGCTAAAGTTGTAGTGTTTGCACTACTTCTGTAAGAAAAGCAAAGTTTTTTAGAAAAGTCTTAGAAATGGCATATTTTATCATACTGAGCATAAAGTAGAAATATACTTTTCATCGGGTTTGGATTCATGCAGTTTTTAATTTTAGTGGGAAGGATTATTTTTTCAGCTCTGAATAACTTATAATGGTAAATAAGAGCAAGACTTATGTAATGAGCTATAGAAGTGTTTATAATCAGGTAGCAATGGAAGTTAGGCATTAAAATGCAGTACTTTTAATTAAGACAGGAGCCATAGGAGCCAGCTCTGTATATATACCGAGTACATCAAATATCCTTCCGATATCTCAAACAATAAGATAAATACAGTACCCATATCAATTTAAATGAATTCAAGTTCTCCATTGTGATTCCAGTGACACTACTAATCATCCAGGATTACAATAGAAGAGATAGAAGTAATATGTTGATGAACTCTGGTTTGTCTGTCCTAATTATGAGTTGGAGTTCTGTGTATTTTTAAAATAAGATTTACTTTAATGCATACACAAAACATAAAAATTATACATATTTATGTGGTACTATGTGAGATAGATAGATATAGTATGGTGTTTAAGCCATATTAAACATACATGTGTTCTCAAACATTTATAATTTCCTTATGGTTAAAACGTTCAAAATTATTTCTCCTATACTTAAAGGAACACTACACACAAATGAAAAATAAAATAACAAATGAGTAGCTAGAAACAATCAAATATCACAAAAATAACAAAATGTCAGCAGTTAGTGTATATCTTTCAACAATAACCTTGAATATAAATGGTCTTAATTCTCCAATCAAAAACTCACATTGTCAGATTAGATTAGACAAACAAGACCCAAATATGGTATATGTCACCCTCAAGGAACACCTCATCCAAAAGACATACACAGACTCTAAGTAAATGAATAGAAAATAATATTCCATGGACGTGGAATCTGAAAGTAAGTAGAAGTAGCCACGATAAAGAATATTTCAAGTCAAAAACACTGAGAAGAGACAAAGAAGTTCACTACTTATTGGTAGAGGAAACGTACCACCTGGTTTTTGTGTTCTATTTATGAGTTGGAGCTCTGTGCATTTTTAAAATAAAATTTATTTTGATGCATACATAAAATATAAAAATTATACATATTAATGGAGTGCTATATGATATATATAGTGTAATGTTTAAATCACATTAAACGTGTCTTCTCAAACATTTATGATTTATTTATGGTGAAAACATTCAAAATCCTTCCTCCTGTACTTAAAGGAACACTACACAAAAGTGAACACTACCACTTCATTCTTGGTACTTTAGAACCAAGAAAATGTAATTTTAAACACGTACATACCAAACATTGGCATACCCAATTCATAAAACAAACCCACTCAACATAAAGCAATAGAGAGATCCCAATAGAATTATAGTAAGTGATTTCACTACTCCATTTTCACAGATATATAGGTCATTGAGGCAAAAAGATCAACAAAAAATACCAGATATAAACTACACTATAGAATATGTGAACTCCAAGTGTTCCATCCAACAAGAGTGAAATCTACATTCTTTTCAGGGATTCATAGAACTTCAAATTAGACCATATCTTAGGCTCCAAAGCAAGTCTTAACGACTACAAAAAATTGAAATAATCTCATGCATATTGTCATATCATAGTGGAATTAAACTACAAAACAGCAGAAACCCTAGAAGCTAAGCAAATGTAGAGATTGAATAATATACTTTTATATGAACAAAGGGTCATTGAATAGATCACAGGTAAATTTGAGAAAATTCTTATTCTGATTTTTATTTTGATACTTATTTGATTCTTAGAATCAAATGATAATGAAAACAGATCGTACCAGAATTTAGGATATAATGAAGGCAGATCTAAGAGGTAATGTTATAGCTATCAGTACCTATGTTAGAAAATTGACAGATCTCAGATAAATAACCTAATGATGCATCTCAAGGTCTTAACAAATAAAAATAAACCAAAACAACTGAGCCCAAGATAAGATGAGAGCTGAAATTAATGGAATAGAATCTAAAAGAACAATATAAAGGATCAGTGAGACAAAGAGTTGGTTCTTTGAAAAGATAAGCAAGATTGATAAACCCTTAACCGAATTAATGAAAAGATGGAGAAAAAGCACCACATTTTAAGAAAATAGAGTCAAAAAACTCATTGTTTGACTTAGTCACTTTTTTCGTTGCTGAGACACAATACCTGACACCCAAAGTTGAAGGAAAAAAGGTTTGTTTACCTCACAGGTTGTAGAAGTTTCAGTCCACAATCATCTGGCTCCAAGACAGAGCAGTACATGGCAGAGGGGCAACAGTTCATGTGGTGGAAGACAGCAAAAGCAACAAGAGAGTGAGACAATAAACAAGAAGGAGCAAGACAAGCCTTTATATTGTATCCATTCTACTGGTATTAGGATGGTGCCAGTCCAATCAGTGTACTGATCATTATCATCCACCTTTAATACTAGCACCCATAATCCCAGCATTGCACTATGAATCAATCACATATTGTAGATTCAGCCACCTCTAAAAAATGACCCTCTGACTGCATGAGGCTTTGGGTGGGGACATCTAGACACAACCAATAACATTCCATCCCTGACTCCCCAAAGACTTGTGTACATTCCTTTACAAAAGCAGGTATTTAGTCCAAGTCTAAGAGTTGCCAAAGTCCCCAAAATTTGGCATTGATGAAAAGTCCAAGTTAAAAGTCTCTGC